GCATTGTCTATACAGCAATTCTGATCCCAAAAGATCCCAAAATGCAGCCAGGATTTGCTTTGACTTTGAAAGCACAGTGAAACCGCAGGATGAGTATAGCCAATACGTGCACGCAGTGCCCTGCAGACAATCACAAACATTTATTTTTCAGCCTAAAGATTGAGTTCAACAGATCAAGGGCTCGCGCTCCAGTCGCCAAGCTGCAAGAGTTGTTCGTGCTATGCAGCCCTCTTATTTGGCAGCAAACCAAGTCAATTGCCCATTGTGGTCTTTCACTATAGTGCAGACCTCTTGATTAGCTTGCCGGTTAAGACAACACAATAGAAGCCTTCTATTTAACACTCCACCCCAACCACATAGAGAACCATCTTCATTAAGAGTTGCTCAAATTAAGTCCAAAGGAGCAAAAATAAGCTTAAAGTTCAGCAAGACGTTGGTTTAAATGCCTCTTAGTGTGCACAGAAAATTAAAGATCAAATTCATAAACATAAATCAAGACCATTTTATATAGGCATAAACAAATTTTCTCCTCAGTACTATAAAAACACCTCCTACCATCTGCTTTTTATTCCCCATTTTTAAAACTCATTTCACAGTCTTTACTGTGCAGATTAAATTCCTGTGTGGTGGCTAGTGACTAAGACCGTCTGTCTGAGTGTCCTATTAGGACCTCTGAAAAAGAAGGCAAACCAAATTACTGATTGTTTCTGGATGGTTTGAGAGAATGCAAACAAATATGAAAGAGATCAATCCAAGATCCAAGGCTTTATCTGGTGGGAAAAGTGCCCCTTTAAGAAAATTATCATATTGGCCCAAATGCCAATTTAAGCTCTGTTGGCTTTTCAAAAAAGAGAAATCATTTTTCAAGTAATATAAAAACATTTACAGCAAATATAAGCATCTAATCAGATACTTAAGTCTACCGTAAGAACTGTTCGCTAAGAGGGTAAAATATTAAGTAGCTAACAAGGTCAGTAAGGAACAGGGAAAATTGCTTCAGTGAAGCCAATAAAAACTACACCTCCCACAATCCCTCTCAATCACGACACCAAAATAGAGGCACAAGGTCTGGGGATTTAGATTGTAGCCATCTCGGGGATGGATATTTTGTAATTACACACTCATCTTTGTTAACAAGCATCTCACTCCTGGTTTAAAATATATATAGAAAACATACTAATAAAATAAAAAAGTAATAAAATATATTACAAGACAAACTTAAAGATTAGGCTGTATTTAAATGTTATTTTTCTAAAAAAAATGGCTTTCTATTCAGGGCAATCCAGTATTTAAAGGATAAGGGTCCCTCTGTGCAGCACACAAGCCTAATAAACTAAACCTAGCAAAGTAATTTCATTCCATGGTTAACAATAAATTTTAAAATCCAAATTAATATTAGTAATTACCATCCTTCAATGACTTCACTTATTTCCCTTGCATAAAATAAAAATGTGATTTACATCTGTATAAGCTGCTTCTGTATAATCCTGTTCTAAAATATGTAAAGAGATCTATACAGTGGTGGCACATATTACTATCAATAGGGGGGACAAAATGAGAAAATAACCCACACAAAAAACAAACAAATTGTAGGAACCTCATTGCAAATACTTCTTTAAAAAGCAAATAAAAAAGGTGCCAAAAATGTTTTCGGGTCTATCACTGGCCTGCAGGATGCTTCCTTTTGAGTAGAGTTTGGAATAGTCAAATCATAAGGGACAGGAGGAAAGAACGCAAATGTGCTCGTGCATGAAAGGTCAGATAAGGTGCTGTACCAATTCCTCAACATGTATTCCACGGGGGGCTCTGTAAACAGGTCAGAAATTATAAGCAGCTGTCCATTATGCAATTAGAGCACTTAAGAATTACGAGCTATCTATAAAGAATAAAGCAACAGGTCAGATGACATACACTTCCAAAGATGAGTGCATCTGAGGCAATGCCATGTGAGTACTTGATCAGTGTAATTCAACTCTGCAACTTGGTTCCTCTGGCTCAAACACTCAGAGGCGTTCTCCATCAAAGAGGATAGGCGGACAAAGCCCTGAGCCCATTTATTAATCATGCAGTTGGTCTACAGCAGCATCTCGCATGCTGTACCACATCTACGAGTCTGTATGCATTTCCAACACAAGAGCCTGGGAAATTTCCCCTGGGATCACAGCAGAAAAGACAGCATCAAGATAATATAAATTAATTAGCATGGAGGGGGCAGAGTAAACCGAGTGACACTCGGCAAATCCAGGGGACTTGCTAATGATGTACCATCTGAATAAATGTGAAGGCTAAATCCGGGACAGATAACAGCGTTAACAGCCAGTCTACACCTCCTCCAGCTCATGAAATCCCAGGCCTTCAGGGAGGATAAAAAGATATGGGGACGCATAGCGTTACAAGGCCTAGGCTGCCAGAAACCATCAGGTAAAGACAGCACTTGAGCAAGGGTGGCACTGTTTTTTACATTTCTGACAGCCTGGGCTGAAAAACACATTGCAAACATATATACTGTACATGTACACAGCACTCCACTCTCAAAGGAGCTACTGCTACTATCCGTAATCATGGGGCCCTTTCATACCTGGTTTGTCTGCCATCATCCGATTCCGAGTTTACCTGAAAAACGAAGACGCACATTGCCACCTTCCAAACCCCCGAGTGGTTTCACACCGTAAAATTTCAATTGAACTGCAGTTCAAACCCCAGATATGTCAAGTTTGCTCTGTTGGGACCTTCACAGGTGTAATTGCCCCGGGATGCACTTGCTTTCACAGAAAAGAAATGTGTTCAACACAGCGAACATTGTAGATCATAAAGGCGTTTGTCCATTTCAGACTGGAGGGCCATGGATCGCACTTTAACATCAAAACTCCTGGCTCAGTTTCCTCTATTGTCCAAAAATGGTGGCATCTCTAATTTCCCCATATGTGTGTATGCAATTTGTATTGGACAGGCCAGAATGTCTTAAACAGTCGGATATCATCCTCTCTTCTACCATTACACATTTCTGCACCTCAATGTCAAACTCTTCAGAGCTCGGATATCAAACTGTTGGACGGGTTTATTTTTGAGAATCTTCACGTTATTATGGGCATGTTATTAGTGTGCACCACAAACTCTTTCCTGAAAGAAAAAGATGTCTTAAGGAAAGACCAGGCCTCATTCGGTTTGGTTTCTTTCACTTGAGAAAGTGTGATAGATAAGTTTATTTCCCAAGTGCAATGATTCAAAACAAATATTTGACATTTCACTATCAAAACTAACCACACTGTCAACTGAACTCCGATCAATTCTGCTCTCCAAAGGAACTGGGTAAAAAAGTCCCCCAGGGTACAGACACTAATAAGGGTAACTCTACGACTCTAATTTATTTTTTAACACAGAGCTGTACAGAATAGTAAACATTTAATCTCTTACTTACAAAAAAGTACATATTCATGATGTCTCGTTGAATTTAAAAGAAGAGGCTTAAAGTAGGTAAATATTTACACTGCCTTTCTATATAAACTGCGAAGATAATTCACCACCAGGAATATGTAACCAAAGGGATTTGCCAGAATTAGAAAATCGCACACAGCACAAGTCATGATCTTAACCCTTTATCTTTCCTAGGTTTATTCCAACTAAGTTAAAATTACTGACCCTTAATTTAACCAATGACTTAATGTTTTTGTGGTATTTACTTTAAGAAAATATATTTGCATTATTTCTGAGAAACACATCAGACAAATATCTACTTCAGCTTTAAAACTGTTGCCCACCCATAGATTTCTAACCAACATCAATTATGCACAGAAACAGGTGGGAATGGCACTATGTCAAACACACCCTTAATTTATGGATGTATAGGCTCATTGGCTAAATTCCACTTGGTCATTCAAACAACCCTAAATGAGAGACATTCTGAAACTCAACATCTGGCATAGAATTCATGCTAATTTGTAACCCTGTTCTGTTCTATTTAAGACCTGAAACTTAAACAAATACTACAATTGAAGGTTTAATAAGATTAATTAAGAAAGACACAGCAGTACTCCAGAAGAAAGACTTTGTTTCATGAGTGTGATCTGCACAAATCAGTGTTGCAGCAAGGCTGCAAACGAAAATGTGGTATTTCACAAAGACATAACAGTCTTTTCAGGGGCTGTGAGATCACAGGTTTTAAACTGAAATCTGTGACTATTTGGAAGCAGACACAAATGCCTTTTTTTAATTGCAAGTCTGGAGTAAGCGGAGAGGAAACAGAGAAGGCTGGTTTAATGTGTCCCACTGTTCATTTACACTCTGCAGGCGATGGGGCCCATTTGCTGCTACATCCCAAAGAACTACAGTAAAACAAATCAGGGCTCAAGTCACTTTTAAATCTGACCTGAAATATTTAAAAATTCTTGTTTGTGAAAGTGTGTGATTTGTTTTTTTCTTTGAGTTTACTGCAGTTGAAGGCGCCAAAATATAGGTTTATTTACAATGTCACCAATTTTTCTTGTGCATCTTCGGTATGGTAGAAATATTATTTGGCAGAAGGGAAAGGGTGTTGAGGATTGATCAAATCCCTTGTAAGAGCAAAGTACTTGTGTGTGTACACAAGTAAACCTAAGGCATGAAACAAGATGAAGTACAGGTACATCACTTTCTACAGGTACAGGTGTTAATTGAATTATGTTTTCAAGTGGTGGATGACTGCCGCAGCATAACTAAGGCAACCATATCAAGATGCTTAACTAAAATACCTCGTGCTTTGTGTGACCATATTGCACACTAACAAATTCCCTAGATAAAAAGGAGGAAGGTGTTACTTGGGTTTTCTCAATTATGTAGTATTCTGGAGATACTGGGGCTGTTGATGGTTGCCAAATGCCCACCTAGCAAGCAGATCACAGCCACCTCACAGACACATAAAATTATTCCCAAGGCTGTGATACACTGACGTCCAAAGGAAAAAAAGTTCTCCTGGAACAACTGATCCGAAAGAAATTAGGACTTTGAATGTCCAAACAACTTACCGAGTTGATACAGGCTAGTTCCTTGTTCAGCAGCCACGGTAGGGATAGTTTGCCTTCTCCTTTGTAGCAGGACTGAATCCTTTCTTTGATTTTCTCCTTGATCTTGCGCAGAGTGAAGAGGCACAGGGCTGACTCCTTGGGTGGCTTGGCTCGGTTCTTCTGACCTTGAGAGAAAACAGTGAAAAGGATGTCCTCCTTCTCCGAGATGCCCAGAGACCTGGCCAGATGCTTGCCAGGCCGACTGAGGTAGGCGTCCTGTATGAGGCGGTACTCCACACCATCCTTGGTGCAGCCAATGGGGAACTCCACGTAGGAGTAGAACTTGGGGTCATCCACACAGAGGCGCACGATCTTGGAGGTGAAGAACTGCTCCCCACTGGCATCCGGAGATGTCAGCTGGGTGTCAAGCTGGAGAGTGAGATAATACACGAACTGCTCACTGCTGAAGCTGTAGATGTAGTAGATGTCAAAAGCTGGGAACTTGGAGAGAGTGTCAGAAGGGATCTTCAGCTGGGAGGAGACAAACTCATCCTGATAGACAAAGCTAAACATGTCAGCGTTCTCCTCGTTGACCATCAGTTTGCGACTGGAGAGGGTGGGGAAGTATTCTGACTTGCCATCAATAGGTGTGCCAATAAAGAGCTTTGTGTTGTGCCCATTGAAGCCTTCAATGATAACCCCGGACATGGTCCCCGACTCGTTGACGCTGGACAGGTAATGCTCCTTCCGGTGGTGGGGTTCCCCGAGTTTGAAGAGGTCATCCAACCGCAAAAACTGACATATCCCCTGAGAGGCACTGCCACAGGCAATCAGTCGGTTCTGCATGTAGTCGATCAACAAGAGCTTGTTGACGTTATTGGTGAGCACCAGGCCATGTGGACAGGACTGGACACTAGGAGGAGGGTAGCATTTCTCATTATCTTCCACAGGACCTGTCATGTGATTCCGCAACAGAGTGAGGTTGTTCGAGAGCTTGTAAATCCAGTTAACGGCTCCCACATAGACTTCCCCAGTTTTATTGTGGATCACCAAGTGCGTCAGACCCATTTCCTTCGGGGAGAAAGTTTTAAAAGGTTTAGGGGTCCCTTTGGCTACCACCGAGGTTGTTACCACCAAAATCAAAAGAATGCACAGGTACAAAAAGGGGCAAGAATGTCTGTAAAGGGGCCTCATGTTTGCTTTGCTCCAGATGGTAAATTCTGGATTTTTATTTAGGGATGAAAAAACAGCTATTGATCCAACGTCCTTTTCTCTTTGTTTGGATCTGTCATCTATAGCATCATCTGCAGTGGCAAAGTGAAGAACCCTGCAAGGGAAAAAACACATTATGAAACATGATGGAACATTTCATATTGATTATGCATTGTCAGTTTTAAAAGCTTGGGATATTGTGCCAAACACAGAAGAGAGAAAAAAAATGACCACAAGCCTAAGGGGAAATACTTAATAGCATTTAATTTAGAGGCTGGATATCAAGGACAACAGGCAGATCTTGCTCAGATAAAATCAAACTGGAAAATATGCAAAAAAATGCATGCCCTTAAAATTTAAAAATAACTAAGGTGATTCTACAGATTAACCATCAATGGAGCCTAATAAGCAGTTTTACATACAACTACTGCAGAGTATTATACTATTTAGACTATTTAGACAAGTGAATAAAGAGTAGTCTACTATGTAACTAATATATTACTATGTAATATATTCTCTCAGTCTCTTTAAGTTTTAGGATTAACTATTTTAAAGCGTAAAGGGTAATAGGCTCAATTCTTTAAATTGATTTGTTTCTAGTTACTCTGAATTAGTGTTTTCCAAGTGTTGTGCATTTTTCACAATATAGTATTTCAGCAATCTGCCAAGGCCCAAGCATTCTAAAACCCCAATGATTAAATCGGCTCTCGGTGACATTAGCGTTTTGTACACTGTGGTTCCGCCGCATCAATTATGTTTACAAAAATAAATCAATGAATGAATCCTGGTTTTAAGAATAATGAGAAAGGAAACATTTCATTTGAGTTCCCAAAGACAAAACAAAAACAGGCTACTACGCCACCCAGTTCTCAAGGAGCAATTTCTCTCTTTTTTTTTTCATTTCTGTCTGAGTAAAGCCCTCCATTTGAGCAAAAGCAAGTCTCTTGTCTCCAGAAGCCATAATTATCTGGTATATTAACTCAGTGTTTTCCATCAGAATAGAACAAAACATTTATTGTCTGAGCTGACATTTGTTGCAACACAATTCTCAGTGTGACAGTATTTCTTCTTTTTAGCTGCCGTTATCCCTAATTTGTCCCTTATTGGAAAGCCAATTCTTTTAAAAAAGAAATTAAATCACTTTAAAAAAATTACTTAATTCCTTCACAATAAGCTGTTGAATTAAACTGAAGCTCATACGGGATCATTTTCTCAAAAGCCGAAGAAAAAAACAAGGAATTACAGACAAAAAAATTAAAAGATTAATACAGTTCAAGAAATCCTTTACACGTCTTAAAATGTAGGAGGGCCTGTGTCTATTTAACAGAACTTTTTCCTCGATTTAGAATAAAAAAACGATATACCAAGCTGATTAGGAACAGTGAAGTGTGCGTTTTTCCCCCATTATATTCACAACTACAAACTCCAGGACTGTACAGTGGGGAGAATAAGCACGTGTACGAAGACTCCTTCACTCTCCCCACCTTTGAGCCACTTGCTGTTTAACAGATCAAACGCCTATACCAGAGGTTTAGCACTGCCTAGAGGTGAGGTTCCTCTCTCACCAACAACACAGCATACCTGCAAGAGCCAGGAGCAGGCCGGGACTTCAGCAGTAAAGTCCAACCTGCAGTTCAACCTGCACTTGGGCGCCTAAGCTCTTGTTTACCAGGGTTTTTTGAAGGTCTCCAAAAGCAGATGTGACCACTATAATCTATTTTTTCAGCAAATTGTCAACAACACGATTCCGTATCTTCAACAGGGACTTTCATTTTACACAACCCCCATCTCTTTAGCTTTTTAGGAACAAGTAAGAGGTTTATTCCATGCAGAAAAGAGAAGAAAGAAAACACAACATTTCGGCCGTGGAGCCTTCTTCAGGTGTGAGAAAGACAGAGCAGTAAGCAAAGGTAATGTAGCGTAGGAGAACAAAAGCTGGGAGAGAGGAGGGGCCAGAGGTGGGAGCAGGGGACGTTTTTTTTCTTCTCTTTCCAGCATGGAATAAACCTATTACTTGTTTCTTTGCAGCCTACGCATGCTGACACAGCTACTCACCTGCACCATTTAGATTTTTGTTTTACTGCTTTTCCAAGGGTTCCTCCTTGCATATATGTTTTTTTAGTCTCTAATTTGTTTTAAACAATATGCAAAATACAACTGGAAAAACTCTTCAACGGTGAACCTGTTTCATCGGATGTTAGATATAAAGAAAATGCCAATCAACTCTCAAAAATCTTTTTCAATTCATTTTCAAGAGCGCCTGAGAGAAAGCCAATGCTAAGACATGTTAGATGGATAAATATAACCTTGGATTAAATTAAAGTAATTAGCTATCAGATTGAATTGCAGGGAGTCAAACTATAGATAAACATCATTAATTGTTCATCTAAATAGAAACTGCCCTTTAATATTAATGCTTTCAAGAAAAATCTGATCCAAAGCTTTGAAAATATGGACAATGTGCTTTACCAATTAAAACTAGGCCAAAATGCATTACTAATATCTGTCATCACAATTCATGCACACAGTTCCAGAAATCCCCCATACAACAAAAAAAGGATATGCAATTTGCTGATAAAACGTAAGAGGATCTTAAATGACTTATTTAAAGTAGGAGTTTTACAAAAAATAAGATATGAGCACAGATACTACAGAAAGTGCTGTCTGAAAGCTTCAACATCAGAATTTGTTTTTACTCAAGTCAGCTACTTTCAATTCCACAAAAACGGTGCCAAAAGACACAGAGCGAGTAGAACTGGCTGCACCTGTGCGAGCTGCAGGAATGCTGTTTGGCTCTCAGACCATAGCTCTGCTTTCAGTTGGAGCCAAAAACATTGAAAGCAAAGTCACAGGTTTCCAGACAGCATCGCTAAACCTGTCTTCTCATATAATAGCTCGAATGCTACAGCAGTGCAGTGATTTATTGCTTGTGGCATATCAATTACAGTACTCCCACAAAAAAGCAACTTGTACTTAAGCAAATTTATATACACTGCATTTTTAACATGTAGGTCACATCTGAGCTGTGTGGCTTTACCCTGTAGTATTCAGCAGTAGGGGCTATCTCTCTATATAACAAGTGAAATGTTTTGTTGTGTGACTTCATCATCACCTCAGTTTTACCTATTAACTAGGAAGTTAAACCAAAGAAGATCTTTTTCTTGAGGGATATTCCTTCAACAACTTAGTCTTTGATTTTTGTTTTAATGAAGAATAATGAGAAATTACAGATAGATCCAATACCAGATTTGTGCCTAACAAGTATTACGTTTTAGAAAATAAATGCCTTCAAATTCACTTCACTGTATGTGACACAATGCAAGAAATTCCTACTAAGCACTAACCTTGTAAGATCTACCCAAAACAAGCACAGCTTTCTACAGACAGCTGTGAAAACAAACTTGATTAAAAGGATCAGGCAGTGATCTCTTGAACCATCCTGTTCTACACATTTACTATTCAGTGGTGTTCAGAAGTAGTTAAATCAAAAAAAAATGACTGAAGTATTTTAAAGCAATTTTTGGAATGTAGTCATTGACAGAAAGTGACTGCTATTATATTTAGTTGTCAGTATATTTCAAGGTTGAATGCTATTTTGATTCAATTTTTATGACATATAAATAGCTCTAATATTTCATTTGCAGTGTTATTGCTTTATGGTGCCCGTTTTTATAGGCCACAACAATACAGGAGAGCAATGAACAGCTGAACTGCTCCTGCTGAAAATGCATGTTTAGGCAGAGAACAAAAAAATAAGCTATAAATTTAGGCAACAGAAAAAAGAAAAGGATTTCTGTAAATGCTCAACAAAAATGGCTTGTAGTTTTGAATTCTTTATTAGAAGACAACACTGAATAAATGCATACATAAATAAAAGAGGATGATGTTTACATTCAGCATTCTGTTATGTATGTAAGTGCATAGAGCACTAAATAAATATGCGTTGGCTGACAAATAATTAACCACATTCTTTTAGATGAACCTATATTGCAATTTAAGAGAAGATTTATAGATAGTTAAAACTGTTAGTATCTGCAGCATGATGCAAATATGCTTTAACCTACAATTAAAAATCCATTCATTTTAAAAGCAGTAGGCGCTCATCTACATAAACCACTGCATTGGCAGCATATTTGAAAAAACTTAACTTAAAACTGTGTGTCACAGTTTCACTTCTCCAGTGGGAAGAAGACAAGGCAACAGTTAATGCTCCTTAATCATCATGAAGTACGATGCTTGACCCCCCCACACACACACACTCACGAATGAAGGCAGAGATTCCTGGACTAAGCTTTAGCCTGTACTTACAGCACATAGTCTTTTTACACTTCTGTTTTCTGCCGCAGAGCAGACAGGATAATCTTGCAACCATAAGAAGGTCCCAGACTGAAACAGTTCTGCTGCATGTAAGAGCAACAGACGAGGGTCGAAACGCGCTGAAAAATCAGTCACCCAGCCTGCTTTTTCACACTGCTCTGCACACAGTTCTGTACTATGTTTCTACCTAGTTTTAAAGGGCAACAGATTAACATTTAGCAGGCAGAACATTACAGAGCAGGTGCACAATCTCAACACATCCACGACAGCTGGTACAGGGAGGATTGGAGGCGATTACTAAATGAGCTCTACCCCCATCAGCAGTGATGTCAGACCCTAAGCATTCCTTCCAGCACTACACTACAGGGTGTGTTCCACATGTGTGAGGAGGCCCCAACCGTTTGAAGTGTGAACTTGACAGAGAAAGTCGAACTCAAAGCCTTTAGGCCTCAAAACACAAATACCAAAACCCAAAACCACCAAAAGGGTATTTCTGGAATTCTGAATTAGATGGGCAGAGCCTCGCGATTCAATTCCAGCCCGGGACATCTGGAAAGTTTGGTGTACCGGGAGAAAACCCACTCGGACACAGGGAGAACAAGCAGTTTCCTCTCAACTCGCAAAGACAAACTGGCTAGGTCAGTTCGGGGGTGTGTTACTCCTGCCTTTCTGGATTGGCTCCAGTTAACACATCCCTTAACAGGAATAGGCAGCTTTTTGGTAGTGGATAGTTGGAATACTAGGGTCACTGAAACCTGGGTTCAAGGATTTGATTTCTGAAATGATAAATTAACATTG